CCTGTTCGTCGTGCAGGGAGAAAGCGCAGAAAATGTTCGGAATCCCGACTTTCCTCGAGATTTCGTGTATTTCGCCCGTTTCTCTTGTGTTTGCCCGTGCTTCCGGATTCCTCTCGTTTCTTTCGTTTTCCACTCCGTTCTCGTTTCACCGGCGTATAATGAACTACACAGTTGCCTGAGCAACGCGAGGTCGGAGGCATTTAAATGGTGGAGGCAGGATATCGACTCGATCTTCTCAACGTAATTTCCAGATGACGAGGGACGCGTGCCGATGTTTCGCGCCCTTCATGACTCGCGCTCGCCTATTTCTCGCCGCTCGATTCTTCGAGGCCGCGAGATCTTACGTAAGCCACGCGTAAATTGACGATTAATTCCTCTCCGATGGTACAGAATGAAATTAAAAATTCTAACATCTGTTTCATTTCAATTGCACAATCGTTATCATTTATTATCCTCGTCCATTTCTCACTATTTTCCAACGTAATGGCACATTTTTAAAATGCTACGTATATAATAAAGGAGTGGATATTGTAGAAGTTTACTTACATGCAACAAAATAATACAAATTTCGATAAAAGACAACGTTAACACTAGAACAACCAAGGACTAGAGCATAGAGTTATTCATCAGAGACATTAAAGTGAAAGAAATAAAAATACAATAGAGCCTGGACGAACCTTTGTTCGTGTATTTTACAAAAAAAAAATCATTTAAAAATCCTGTAAAAATACACCTTATCTAGAAAAATAATTATGAATTGGTCATTTTGGCCACTTCGGTAGTTCCAATGTTGAATCGTTAAAATTATTACATCGATACAAAGAACGGATGATAGTTAGATTAACATGAAACGGACTGAAAAAAATTCATTCACGTTTATATCGCCATTATTCACGCCTCTCAAACTTTTGCGCCCCCAACCCTTTAACTCTGAGAACACCTACCACTTTGAACATAGTTTCTGCAACATATTATAACCTCCTCCCCCCTATCGAGAATTTCAAACCTATCGTATTAGAGCAATAATCTCGCAAACGATCAAACACAAACTTATTGCGCAACTTGAACGCAACGAGCGGCCTCTCTCATCCTCCGCGATGGAGCTCAAGGAGTTAATTGCTCCGAAAACTTTTGCACTGCCCTGTACAGCTCGTTCATATTGGTCCCGAACGGTACAGGACTCTTTTACAACCTGTTTACGGCTTCTCGCGTGTCGACGTTGGGACCGGTTCGATACGACGTTCCTGTTTTTTTTTTCTTTTTTTTTTTTTTTTTTTTTTTTCTCTCCTCGTTCCTTTTTTCCTCTCCTTTTCTGCGCGATTTTTCCGCCGTGCTCGTTTCCGTGTGGACGGTGCTTAAACTTGACAGACATCGCACACTTTGTTCTACTTTGGCTCGAGTTGGCTTGTTTTGAAAGATAATTGTTAAAAATTGGAGAAATCGCTCTGTCCTGATTGTTCAAAATTTGGAACTCTTAACCACGTCAATTTCATTTTGACTTATTACTTTCGTAATAATCAGTAATTTTTTTAAATTTCTAAGTGGGAGGAAAATACGTAAACTTTCTAATTCTGTCATCCTCGTTTTAATTTTCGGCGCGCACTTTTCGAATCAGCAGATAAAACATTTTATTTGAAAGAAGACTATTTTATATTACTATTTTTGTACATTTCTATTTGAAGAGATATTCGTCAGGTAAAGTACAACTGAATGTTGCCAGTTTCCACGAAGATTGTTTCCACCAAGATTAAGTTTCCATCATTACAAATTTATTCTTCATCTTAATTACAAGTTTTTATATTACAGCATCTCAAAGAAGGATTATTGGCACAGTTTAATTGAAATTAATTTTTAATTTAAACTCCCGAAGAACATCCAACTAATAATAAATTAGCCTTTCCTTTCCAAGAAGATTAATATAATATGTAATGTCAAAAGAAACAAAATGTATTTTTATTCATCTTTCAACGAAAGAATACGCGAGAAAGTTCCAATGAAATTCCGATAAAAGACCAGGAGAGACAGGTATGCATATAATAATCGACGATAAAGTGCAAGGTTCATCTATCCAATGAAAGAAGTTCTCCTGGATAATAAATTTACCTTTAATTTAAAGTTAATTCAATCTTAAATTTAAAGTAAATTTATCTACCAGTGTCGAATGTTGTTGCGTGAGACGTTTATCCCTCTCGTAAAATCCGCGTTGAAAAGTCGAAGAAGCGACGAAAACGAATGAAGCAAGGCCCGTGGAAAAATGAAGATAGAAACGATGGAAATAAAATATCGCGGTCCATTGTGCAACAACGGATGGAAGAAACGAAAAACACACGAGGATGAATGGACGAATGAATGGCGAACGACAATTAGAGCACAGTAGACGCTTTAATTTCGCCGGATGGTTTATGAACCGGCCGACTTAATTCCATTTAGAATCGCCGTGCGTTTAGCATCGCGTTCTACGATTGTGTAACAACTTGTTGCGAAACTCTCGTTTTCCCACGGCACGTATTTAATTTACAGGGCATAATACGTTGTGCAGCGGTGCCACGTGAATCGCTGTAATTAAAATCGGACGTTCAGAATGTCTGTCTGTCTGTCTGTCTGTGAAATTTCAAGAAGGAAATGAAAACTACGGATTTTTATTGATGTTAGTTTGCAGTTTGCGAATTATCATCGATTGGAATGAAACAGAATTACAATAAACTGAAATTGGGGGGGGGGGGGAGAATTTCAAGAAGAAAAAGAAAAACTGCGGATTTTTATTGATAAAAATTTATCGATAAATACGATCGTCAAATTTTTGATCTTGATACATGCAGCAATTAATAGTAATATAAAAATTCGTAATAGTGAGTATTAATGAGCAAAAATTCTGAATATCTCTGGAAACTCTCTTTACAATTGCACTCACTACGATTCTAAAGTCGAACTTTGAACATTGCGATTGAATGTAATTGAATTTTCCTGAAACAGTCTGTTTCTTCATTCAGATTTAACCAAATTTAATCCCCCAAAATAATTGTTCTTATTTGAAAAAGATTCGAGATTCGACGCCTCTCCTCTGATGAAACGATAGATCTCGGTTTGAGAATTCCAAGCGGTGAACGAGGGAGGAGGTCCATCTCGAGGAACGTTTCGATTATTTTCCCAAGAACAGAGCGAGAGAGACCGCGTGCAAACGCTTCTACGCCTATGTTTATAGAGGGTTGTAATTCGAGACTGCTACGAAGGGAGAGTGGGGTAAAAGTGGCTACCCTAGGTTATACCTGCGAAAATCTATTCAGTTCGGTACTCGTCTAGCGTTCCAGCAACAACACGTCCCGCAATTCGTAGCAATCCGCCAGGGAACGTTGGTCTCTCCCCGGCTCCCGGCCTCATTTTCCATTCGCGCGCGCCAAATCCACGATTTTCTCTTACTTCGCGCGATTCGTTTGTGACGTGAAACGATCGCATCGGTTTTCGTGCAGTTTTCGTTTCCTGAGTTGAAGAAGGAAGAGTACATTCAATTTTGATCGAACACGGAAGTAAAATTTATCCATCTGCCTAACGATATTGCAAGTTTAGAAAACGAAGATTACACGAAGAAAGTATGAGTAAATCATTGTTACATTTGAAAGAGAGGAAAGGATTCGTTAAGTGAAGTGCGATTGAAACATTGGGAAGGGATTCGTGAAATTTATTAAGTAATCAGACTTGTGCGTTTTTCTTTTTTTTTTTAAATTTTAAAGCGTGAATATGCAACGTGATATTCAAAGGAGAATCAATATCAATTCCATTCCTTCAATTGTAAACTCAAGAAATTTGCAGAAGTTTGCATTTTACTTCGAGTAGGAAGAAGACCAAAGTTGACTTCAATTGTTGAACATACATATGTGCCGTGTGTTGAAAAGATTTTGGTACAATCTCCTAACTGGAGATTTCAAGCTCTCGTGTCTTTCACGTTCTGTCAATTTACTTGTCCTTATACCTAAAAGATGATAAGCTTACATCAGCTTGTAAATATTAAGTAAAATACTCGTGAATCATTGAACATAATAACACAATAACATAATAACATAATACACAGTACTATACATAATATTACATACACAATATTACACAGTACTATATTACATACATATAATACATAGTACTATATTACATATACATAATACACAGTACACAATATTACACAGTACTATATTACATATACATACTACACAATATTACATACACAATATTACACAGTACTATGTTACATACAAATACACAGTACTATATTACATACACATAATACACAGTACTATACACAATATTACACAGTACTATATTACATATAATACACAGTACTATATTACATATACATAATACACAGTACTATACACAATATTACATACACAATATTACACAGTACTATGTTACATACAAATACACAGTACTATATTACATGCACATAATACACAGTACTATACACAATATTACACAGTACTGTATTACATAATACACAGTACTATACACAATATTACATACACAATATTACACAGTACTATATTACATAATACACAGTACTATATTTCATACACATAATACACAGTATACTATACACAATATTACACAGTATTATATTACATACATATAATACACAGTACTATGTTACATACACATAATACACAGTACTATACACAATATTACATACACAATATTACACAGTACTTAAAGTGCACTTGATTATTAATCGATTTTAAATTAATACTGTTAATTAAATTAACAAAGTTAAATATTAATAAATTTATATTGAATTAAATTCGTACGACATTAAATGTCATATCACAGTCGTACTAATTGATCTTTGGGTAACCGTGAATTTACAGCACGTTTGAAAAAAAAAAAAAAAAAAAGAACAAACAGATGATCTGATTTTGTTCAGATTTGAATCAGATCGTTCAGTACGAACTCGTTTCATTTCTCTGTCGTGTCTCGTTATATTATAATATATATCGTGCGTCAATTTGTCGTTGCAGGATGGATGTACCACGTGGTTGATTGTACGGTGCTTGGGATAACGAGACAGCAGAAGCAAGCAATCGCCATCCACTGTCTACAAAAGTCTATCGAGGCGGAACCGAAGAGCGGGCAAAGCCTCTATCTGCTGGGACGTTGCCTCGCCGCCTCTGGAAAAGTTCATGATGCATTTATTGCTTACAGGTAATCTGTGACGTGCTTGAAATCCGCGAGGAGAGCGTTAATCTCGAAATTATTGCGCCGATATATCAAGCCAGACTCGTTAAGCCTCTTAGCTTCTTAAGGCAAGACTGACTAATTCCCGCCTGTTTGTGGTAGTTTCATTCTTCTCAAACGCTTCAGTTAATATTAAGTTTAACGCAAGAAGAAGAGAAAACAAAATGCAGGAGATTCTTCGAAAAAATTTCTCTATGCTTGAAATTTTTCTCATGCGAAAAAAATTTAACTTACGTATAGCCATATAATAGGATTATAAGAGATATTGAAAACGAAAACTTAATCGTGCCAAGATCATTTCTTTCTAATTAAAAGTTATCATTCTACTGAAGCTATCGTATACTCTGAAGTGATTTTCTTTTTTTTGCAATTAGCACCATATGCTGTACAGTTAATACAAGCTGTTTATTTATATTTGATGCGTTTATAAATAATTTTATAAATAGTTTATGTTACATTTTATGTTTATAAATAATTTTTTATTAACTATATTATTTATTTATTATTAATTTTATTATTAATTTTTTATATTATTTATTTATTTAATAATTTTATAAGTTTATGAATAATTTTTTATTAATTATATTTTTTATTTATTATTTATTATTTATTATTTATTATTTATTATTTATTATTTATAAGTTCATAAATAATTCTTTATTTTATTATATTATATATATATTTCTTAAATGTTGGTTATTCTATTGTTGAATCAATTATCGCGTATCATAGATGATCCCATGCGACACAGAAGTGTCGTCCACCTGCTTCGATGCCTTAATCCAGATCACTTACAAATCATCGTCAATTGCAGAAATTCCGTGGAAAAGTCCGAAGGAAACGCTGACACGTGGTGCAGCATAGGCGTCCTATATCAACAGCAGAATCAGCCTATGGACGCATTACAAGCCTACATATGTGCTGTACAGTTAGATAAATCACATTCGGCTGCTTGGACGAATCTAGGCATTTTGTACGAAAGCGTTAGTCAGCCAAAAGACGCTTTAGCTTGTTACGTCAACGCATCCAGGTAAAATGAATTAGTCAACCCAACGCGGTGAAATGTATCAACGACTATACATTCACCCTTGAACACTTTTATATTTGTAAAGAAATTTATGCGTGAAATTCCAGTGCATATAAATTTTTTGTTACTTTGAATTAAATATTCTTTTTTTTCATTATAAGAAATATCATTGTTGTGTTCACCTATCATATCGTTATTATCAGTATCTTATTATTATTTGGTGTTGTTTAGTATTAAAATTTAGTATTAAGTAAAACAATTAAAAATTTGTGATATTGGTTCATTGTTCAATATTATTATCTCTTTATTTATTATTATTTGTATGACTTAATATTATTATCTCATTTAATGTCAAATTTCTAATAGAAAAGTAATAATTATTATTATAAATAATATGAGAGAGGCTTGTTGCATTGGCAGCCCAGTAAATAATATCAAAATAAAATTTACGTGAAATGAAATTTCACCCATGAGAGCGTCTGATAGTTAATTATATCATTGTTTGTGATATTATCTGGAAATAATACTGTTTGTAAAGCAAAATTTACAATATAAATACATTTAAAAATTTTTACAGTCAACATTATATTTATCCCAAAAGATTTCTAGATTTTGGTACATATTTTTAGTATGTATCTTAATTGTGATATAATTATCAGTCATTTGATATGACTGTACGAAATTTTTTCCATAATTAGATTTTTTGGAGAGAGAAAATATTTCTTGTGTGAGAAAAATTCGTCCAGATTCACTTGTACTTACGTATTCATTGTATGTACCTCTCGTATAGTTTTGCGCTGCATAATGAACTACCTCCTCAATGATGTTTCAAGAAAGATCAGTAAGTCAAGGATAGGTCAGCATTTCAAAAAAAGTAAAAAAGATAAAAGGAGAGAAGTGAGGAGAAAGCAGAGGAAAAGACTGAAATGAAGACCTACCATAGAAATGAAAGCATCATTTAATGACACGACAATTGTTTTTCTTCTGTAGGGGTAATAACAACACACCGAATTGTACGGGCTCACTGGCGGGCCTGGGTGGCCCTAAGTCAGGCGGTAACACCCCGATGAACCCATCGCTTCAACAGCGGATCAGCTTTCTACAAAGTCACCTAAGCCAAGCACCAATGCCTTCCGTCGCCACCAAGTAAGTTGCTTCTATCATGTTTTCTTCCTTTTAACTAATTTTAATTAGTTACATTCACTGTAGAACCTTGATTCAACCCATTGAAGAGCAAGCAACATTGTACCATATATACAGAATAACAGAAGTCCACTAAATTAAAAATGTAATAAAAATCTTGATGGCTTCATAAAAGCATAGCCTGTCATATTGTAATAAACATTAGTAGGAGTAAAAATTCAGTTCTCAAACAGAATAAATTATATATTTACGAAATCGTTGTAAAAATTGTACGGTATAGTAGTAGAAAAGGACGAAACAAATCTTGGAATATCGTTTCACCATTTACATGTCAGAAAATATAATATTCATACTATATCACTCAGATACAATGTTAGCCTTCAATGTGTTAATTTGATTTGGACAATCTTTGTAAGAAAGATTGGAAAATGAGAATTAAAAAAACAAGACACGTTTAATTTTAAAAACAATTCTAGTAAAATGAAAACATACTGAAAATTGCTTCCTTAATAAAAAGGAACAAAAAAAATGTGTGACTTATGTTCTTGGCTTGGACAGAATGTGTCATGATTAGTCCAAATAGACAAGGTTCTGCTATACTTTAATAATCAATTAACTGTAATGCTATTATTTTCTGATTTTTTTGATATCTTATCTTAGGCACGAAGAAATTGGAGATACTTAGAAGATGATTGAAGTTATTTTAATCCTGACAAGTATAAAGCTCAAGGTTGTTATGTATATATATGTATATATATACATTTTCACATACACGCACAAAAAACAATTTTTGGACAAAGTAAATCATTTCCTAACTACAAATACTTTAACGAGAATGACCAAAGTATGACTCGATAATGTATGATGCAATTGGTGTTTAGCAAATATATAAATCTGTATGAAACAAGCAGTGGTGACCTTGAAAATGCCTCAACTTTCTTTTTTTCTACCTTATACCGTTTGGTTTGATCTAAAGCTTGTTTATTCCAACAAATAAGACAAAAATAAATTGTTGACGTTCAAGAATTTAGAATCTACAAGATTCTAATCGACTCTGGTCAAAAATACATTGTTTGTAAAGAAAAGAATTTGAAAATTATGAAAAAAATGATAGTTCTCTCTCTCTCTTAGAAACTGTTCACGTACGTACGTGTTGCAGATAAAGAGCAATTTTGTTTTGCCCACGCGAGTTAATCATTGAGAAATAAAAGGAACGGAACGCGAAAGGTTTCTTTTTTAGAAGGTTCGTTCATACCACCGAACGATTATCAAAAAGAAGCATGTATATTTAAGCGTTAATCTCCTTAACGTGTAATGTTTTTGTTCCATCAAGGAGGCGGCAACTGCCGTCTATAGAAGAGGCTTGGAACTTACCTATTAGCGCTGAGATGTCCAGCAGGCAGCAACAACAGCAACAACCACCCTCTGGTCCAGGTTATAAGTATGGTACGACACCTTCTGGACCACCGCCTCCTTATCCCCAAGGACAGGGACAGGGGCAAAATCTTAATACAAAAAGATTTAAGGTAAATTAAATTTTTTAGCAGTAGCAGAGAGAGACCTTTCATCTAAAAAGCTGTAGTAAATTAGGGCTTGATTTAGAAATGAATCTTAAATTTCAGCTTAAGATTTAATATAATGTTTTCGTCTACGATACCTGGATCGATCTTTAAAAAAAAAAAAAAAGAAAAAAACCACCTATTATTCGCCCGCACGAACTGCTCGATCGAGCCTTTATAAAAACGCCACCAACCGATGTCACGACTTCAGCGTTTTTTGTTCGTGCTCGCAAACTTAACGTCTTTATTCGAACAACATCTAAGCAATGAGAGCCTATTACACAACGCGAACCACGAATGAAAAAAAATGTTTCGACGTCGCGGTCAGCGAACTCCGTCGAATTTGAATAACCAACACCAACGTCTTTCGCGTTAGCGGCAATAAAAGGACGGCTATCATCCGTTTGTCAAACAATTCGTATGTGTAACACTTTGCCAGTTCTTCGTACATATTTTTTAAACTAGTTTTGTACAGTGTGTAGCTCGTCGTTGTAAGTAAAATCTTTCCGTGAGCGCGTTTTCTTTTGTAAAAATTGTAAATTATTCTTCTTCCTTGATGAATCAGGAAAAATTGAAGTTAGAATTAAATGAAACTTGTAGTGAACAGTTTATGATTCGTTTCTTGTATTTATTTCATCTTTATAATTGTATAAAAGTAGTGTATTAGATAGATTTTTATATATTCTTGTTTTGAATGATGAAATGAATTGTATTTTCAGCCAGGAGAAGAACCAATCTCTCCAGGCGGTCAGCAAAGACCGGCACCGTTTTATCTTACGTCCCAACAACTGCAAATGCTACAGTTTCTTCAACAAAATCATGGAAGCTTGACAGCGCAGCAGCAAGGTCTACTTGTTCAATTACAGCAGCAATACAGGTGTATGCAACAACACCAACAACAGATTAGATTACAACAACAGCAAGCTGCTCAGAGAGGATTGCGACCGGGACAACCGGGTTATCCTACAGGCTACAATCATACGCAATTAGGACAACCTGGTGTGATCAAAAATTATGGAATACCTCAGCAACCGGTACTATACTTTCCATTTTATATATGTATAGAAGATTTTATTCTTGTGAAAATCTATTCAAAAAAATATGAATCTATATAAATATTCACAGTTTAATCATGATAATATGACAAATTTTAAATGGTTACACTATTCTAAATAACTGTGTCCTTTGTTATAGCTGCAGCAAGGTGGAACTGTCGCATTGCAAACAGGATTCTCAGATTCGAATGTCGGCTACAACACAGTAGCGACTGGTAACAGCCAGACGCCGGGGATGCCTTATAAATCTGCCTCTGATCCAAATTATCCTCAGAGACAATTGACATCCAGCCAATATAACCAATACCAGCCTAACCAGTACACTGCCCAAGGTTATACTCAAATATCGTCCACGACGAGCAATTACCCAGAAGGTTCCGCAGGAAATAAAGACTTGGGTGTAACGGATCAAGAGCTACAAGCTCTGTTGTCCCAGAAAGATATCGCGACATCGTTAGCGGAGGATCTCTTAAAGCATTTCGGCTCGGAAGATTTAGACGTGAAGGAAGAGGCACCGAGTATTATTAATAACGGCACTTTAAGTTCGGGTCCGTTTTCTCCGTCAAATCTCGAAGAGAGTACAGAAAAGAGCAAAGAGGTGAAACTAGAGAAGATAGACGACACCCAGCCGTCGTCCACGTCGAAGCTCGAGGCGTACGAGAAGAGCAATACGAAGGCACCGGCTCCGGCTGTCGAGACGGTAAAGTGCGAGGCGACGTCAAGTACAAATAAAATTGAATCGGTCGCCCGGATAGAACCAGTGCTCAAATTAGAAAGTTTGTGCGAATCGCAACCGGAACAGGAGCTTAGCATAGATATGGATTCGAAGGCCATTATAGAGGCGTGCAAAGGTCGGGGATTGAACGGTGTACCGAACTGCTCCATATTAAGTGATCGTTCACCTCCGCCGGCGCCGCCTGATCCTCCAAATCAGAGGCTAACTAAGGAGCAACTTCTACCTCCGACACCTAGTGTTTATTTAGAGAATAAGAAGGATGCATTCAGTCCGCAGCTTCAAGAGTTCTGTCTAAAACACCCGATAGCTGTGATTCGTGGCTTGGCAGCCGCATTGAAGCTGGATCTCGGCCTCTTTTCGACTAAGACTTTAGTGGAGGCGAATCCGGACCACGGCATCGAGGTGAGAACGCAAATGCAGCAAACCAGCGACGAGAACTGGGATCCTGTGTTGGGGAGGAAAGTTTGGGGTTGTATCAGTCATAGAAGTCACACGACAATCGCGAAATACGCGCAATACCAGGCCTCGAGTTTTCAAGAAAGCTTGAAGGAGGAAAGGGAGAAGGCTCAAGGTATACATACCTCGAATCTGTCCGACTCGGACTCGAAGGATAGTACTGGTGCTGTCAGAAGGAAGAAAAATGCTTTTGGATTGGCGGGTCGACCAGGTTCGAAAATGTTACGATTTGGGACCAATGTAGATTTATCAGACGAGAGAAAGTGGAAACCGCAGCTTCAGGAACTAATGAAATTACCGGCGTTCGCTAGAGTCGTCTCAGCTGGAAATATGCTCAGTCATGTGGGGCATGTTATCTTAGGCATGAATACTGTTCAGTTGTACATGAAGGTATGTCCAATTGCTTAATTCTGCTTTTAATAACAATAGTCATTTAAATATCTATTTTCATTCAGTATTTTTATAACTCACAAGTTAGTTAGATGTAAAGAAATTTGAAAAGAATAATATTGGAACATTTTCTGAAGCAGCATTTTTATTTTCTTGTACAGGTGCCTGGTAGTAGAACACCTGGTCATCAGGAAAACAATAATTTTTGTTCTATTAACATCAATATTGGGCCAGGAGATTGCGAGTGGTTTGCAGTGCCTGATGCATACTGGGGTGTGATTTGCTCCCTTTGTGAGCGAAACAATATCAATTATCTCCATGGTAGTTGGTGGCCTTCTTTAGAGGACCTTTATGAGGAGAACATTCCGGTATATAGGTTTTTACAAAGACCAGGCGATCTTGTATGGGTTAATGCGGGTAAGTAAACTCCAAATAATTATAAATTGTGTAACACTAATTAAATTTGAAAGAAGCGTAAATAAAAATGAATTATTTTTATTATTCTATCAACATAAAATCAAGTTCAAAGTTTCCGTCAATGCCATGTTATCTCTCTAGGTTGTGTGCACTGGGTTCAAGCTGTTGGATGGTGTAACAACATCGCATGGAACGTTGGTCCTTTGACTGCTCGGCAATATCAACTGGCAATTGAACGATATGAATGGAATAAACTGCAATCATTTAAATCTATCGTACCAATGGTACATTTATCTTGGAACTTAGCAAGAAATATCAAAGTGTCGGATCCCAGATTGTTTGAATTAATTAAAAATTGCCTATTAAGGACAATGAGACATTGTTGCTTAATATTAGAGTTTGTGAAAAAAAAAGGTGTAGAAGTTCGGTTTCATGGACGAGGAAAAAACGAAGCGTCACATTACTGCGGCCAATGCGAGGTAAGATAATTTTAAATAAAATTAGCTCATAATTTTCTATTCTGCTAGAAATATTGTTATCCTCTATATATTGAAATTAATCGAGTTTATAAACTTTTGATGTGATATATTTTTTTTTTTTAAATAAAAGTGAACGTAATGCAATTCAATACCAGTTTAAATCCCAAAGCCAATTTAAATATTGTATAACCTTGATGCATCTAATAATTCTGAATTTTGTTCTTTCAGATTGAGGTGTTTAACATCTTGTTCATAAGAGAGCAAGAAAAACGACATGTTGTTCACTGCATGGATTGTGCACGAAAACAGTCTCCATCTCTGGAAGGTTTCGTTTGTCTAGAAGAGTACAGAATGCGTGATTTAATGGAAGTTTATGACGGATTTACTTTACACTCTTCTCTGACAACTCCCTCATCAGTTCAGTCTAACCAATCCTCCTGAGAATACATGCAACACAGATATTTGGACTTCTTAGGCACTCTACAGTGACTTAAGAAGTACAATATCTGTGTTTAAGAAGAATCATTACAATAAGCATTATTCAAGTACCTGAGAGCTATCATAAAAGAAGAAAAAATGTAAAAGATCAAAAACTTCTATATGTTCGCAAAAGTCAAACATCTGTCTCCATGCTAATTTTGATGTACGCACAATACACGTACGAAGCTAATAAATTTTAAATTTGGTAATTAGCAAAAATAATTAAAAATTATTTAGCATTATTTATATAATGATACTAACTGAAAAGTATAATATTCGAAGAATTTTATATTAAATTGATGTAGAAATATTGTTTCAGCTCTCGGGTATAGAAAATCGAAATTAAGTAAACGAAAAAAGACTGCGTTTTACTTATAAATTACTCGACCATCATTTGTAATCCTTTGATGACGTCACCGTGATATTGGTGCAAAACCTTTATAATAAGACATGCTCTGAATATTAGTTATTAAACTTGACCGCGTTTTCTATTGATTTTATATCGTGGCAAGTATCTGCAAAGCATTTAGTATTTATTTTCATCAGGAACAACGAGAAATTTATTATATTTTGTTCATAAATTTCACGCATTTTAAAAATTTTTACGAATAACAAATTAATAAAAGAAAAAAAAAAAAAACAAAACGAAATTTCATTCACTCGGAAATGTTCACTGCCAATCGTGAATATATATATTAAAGGATTACACTTGTCCAAAGTGATGAGGGATAAGCTGTCGTTAATTATTGTTATGAATTAAGATACGATTGTTAAGTATTGCAAAGCTGCTCAAGACGGACTTGTACATTTTTGTATACAAGCGAATTGAAATGATTATTGATTTTTATGAAATTCATGGAAATTATTATAGCACAGTTTTGAACGTCCTACTGCCAATAATAATTCGATTCTGAATATTGTAGCAATGATTATGTTCTCATATCAGTTCTGGAGACAATGAAATCAGTATCAGATTGAAATTTATTAAGAACAAAACAATTGCCGAGCTTTTCTTATAAATTCAAACGACGTAGCCAGAAAAACACAAAGTGGCATCGTGCTTCGCGATAAATTAATTATTGTGTCATAGCGGCTCTAAAATATTTGTACAGTAAAAAATACATTTTGTAACAATGATTTCTAAGATATACCAACCTCCGTGTTTAAAACAAAAAGATAATAATGGCGTTTCTCAATTTCATAGCCGGAGAAAAAACAGAATCGGCAGTCATTAGAGATCGCGGTATCATGTGCTGAAATTTCAATTTAATCTGTCGATCATGTTATAAAGCAGTAGTTGTAAATGAATTTATTTACATTGATTTTTAATTATACAAAATGTTTCATTGGTCTATGCAATTCATTTCAATAAATGAAAACTGTATAGATTAGTGATTTATTTAGAGTATTATTTAAAGTAATATAATTTTAACGAGTCTAAGGACGATGTGTAAAAACAAACCTCAACGTTAAAAAAACAGTTGGGAAACGCTGGTATAGAGTGTGTTTAACAGCAAGTAGATTGTATCTTCGTACAGGAGAAACGTACCTTCAACTCAGTCTCGTCAATTCACATTGGTGTATAGCTACGCCAAATGTACGTGCCAGAAAACAAAAAAAAAAAAAAAAAAACAAAAAAAAGAAAGGAGGGAAAAGAAATTCTTAACTACCACAAGTGTATAAATAATGCAATTCTCGTTCCGCCGAAAAAATGTATTTTCACAAACGCGTGAGAGAGAGGGAGAGAAAGGGAGAGAAAATGAAAACGAAAGAGCAAAAAAAAAAAAAAATGGTAGATAGTACAGGTCGTAATAAGATCATCGAAGAACGATGTATTTTTGAAAATTCTAGGAAATGCTAGTTCCGCCGAGTTAGTTAATCACGAACGACATTCGCATTTCTTTTGTAACCGCGCAACCAATTTCGATGTTGCATCATTGCAATATATATGTTGCACGATTGCAATATATGTGTGTATATATATATATATGCACATATACATATACATATACATATGTACACGTATATATATATATATATATATATATATATATATATATATATATATATATTTATATATTATATACAGCAATGACCCGAATATAAATGCTAGTTTCTGGATATGTTAATACTCTATCATTGAATCTTAACAAAAATTGTACGGGTCCGGAAAACTCGTATCCAAGAGTATTTTAATCCATGCACTCAAATGATCTCATTGCATGTAATATTGGCAGTAAATGACAATGAGCTCTCTGCCAGTATTTCGAACTGACTTGACAACTTTGAATAACAATTAATAAATTATGTATAAATATATTTAATGTAAAAACTAAGATTAGATAACGTGAAATGAATCGAAAGCAGAATAGCTCAAGAGCTTCGATAGTTAATAACGAACAAACTGAAACCAGTGCGTTGTGCCTGTTTTGCTGTGACTTGATGGTTGATCTAAGCCAATTCGTATTTGAAATTGAGACTATGACATCTCTAATCGTTTGCTACATTGTGTAGAAATTTTTTAACGTTATACTGTTTAATTCAATTCCCTCTTTTTAATAAATTATATAAATTATCTTTCATTCATTATATGTCTATATTAATTGGCAATATGGAGCAAATGCACACAGTATATTGTGTATGCTGATATATGATATAATATTAAAAAAAAATCAATAATGCTACATTGCAAAATTCGGAAATTAGAAATAATTTGTTCAGAATATATTGTACACTTTGTAACAATGAAATGTACATGACGTAAGAATAACAATTAGATATGCAAAATTTTATCAATGAAGTATACAACAAAGTATATTGAAATTGCACTGTTCAATAATGGTTTAATTGCAAAAGGTCCAGAGCACTGGCAGTTCAAGTTTGTTTGCAGTTTAATATTTTAGAAAATTTTAGATCCTTCGAATCGCGTGAAGTTTTAGTGGATGAATTGAACACGCAACATGATTTAAGATACAGAAAAATATGCTTTTCTTAATGATCACACGTGTTACCTATAAATGAAATACTTGCGATTAAATGGAAAATAATTCAGGATTCTAATGAAATAATTTGTGAATAATCATTGGTAAAAATGTAAACTTGAATATTGGTAAATTCTGAAGCGTGAAAATTTCTTTGAACGTATAAGGCACGTATTCGAAATAAGAAGAAATGTTTTTCTTTAGAAGTTTTTTTCTTTTAATTTTTCTTTTAGCACATTTAAAATATGCTGCAATTATTGCATATATTATGCAGGATGATCTAGAAATCTAGTATGATAATTTTGGACAATTGGCAGTATTATTGCTGATAACATTTTTATATTCATTAGAATTGTGATAATTTAAAATGTACCACTTTAAACATCACATGATGAAAGAAGTTATATAACATGTTGTTTATATAAGGAAGAAAATCAATTTTTTTAAGTACTGTACTAGATTTTTCTAACTACCTGCAAAAGTATCATATCTTAAGTTAGGAGAAGGAAATACAAGAAACATTAGGCTTGAAAATGTATTATTTGAAATAGCAGACCAGTTAATGTAAGCTTTCAAATACCATTTGTGTTTTAGTTATAATTTAATTGGTTTTTAGAGAGTTTACATTCACTAGTCAATATATATATATATACACATGTATACACTCATATGTATGTGTATATATATGTGTATATAAACATATATATAAATATATAAATTATAGTTTATTTAATATATATTTAATAAATTATTTATTATTTAATATATATTTAATAAATTATAAATATATTTATATATATATATAAATATTAAAATCTTAAGACGTGTATATATGTACACTCATTTAAAGTTCTAATATTTTTTCTTTCATTTAATCAAATTTATCATTACATCTTTCTAATGAATTATGTATTAGATTCGAGTAAGAAAGCAAGAGGGAACTAGAAAGAACCCGAGCAGTAGTTATGTTAACTTATCGTTTAACAAAATTGTAAGTAATTGTAAATATTTGATTTTTTTAAAAACCGAAGAATGAGCAGCAGGAGAGCAAAATTGTATAATAAGTACATTTATGTAATAATCACTCAATTGTTTATCCTGCACGTACGCAGATTTCTCAAAATCTTATATTTTGATACCGACTACACGAGAAATAATAATAATAATAAATCGTGACATTGGTGATTTTTAGAAAAAAAAAAAAAAAATTATGCAATTTAGTATTGCGCACAAAACGCCAGATAATTACTAGAAGCAGAGGAAATCGAGGGAGATCCCATTGAATCCGTTATCTTGAACAGTTTCTTGAAATTCAGAAAAAAAAAACGGCGCACATACGAAATTGCGTACCTTCATACGAAAGGCAAAGAAACACACATAAAACATATTTTCGCTAAATAATGTACGTAAAGAGTTTAAGTTCTAATACCGAGTGGCTGAAGTTAACAGGCATAAAAAGAAAAAAAAAAAGAAAAAGATTTATTTTTTCTGAACAATAGCGGAAAGAAAAGTAATATTTTCGAATTCGTCTGTAACGTCTGTAAAATGAAATGTAGCAAACCATAGGAGAGGAAAAAAAAAGCAAGCAAAAAAGAATGATGATGATGATAATGATGATAATTCACGTAGCTTAAAACTTGTAAAACTGTATTTTAAACGTGAGAACGTTCACTGCCAAATTGTGATAAACAAATCCCACCTTTAAACCGGAGCGTTTTCTTAACTTCTGATCGCATTGACCAATTAATTTTCCTCCTAAATACATAGTTACCGTGAGTTCTGCACATTCTGATATAATATAATAGTCATCTATATTTTTCCTTAATGTTTAAGATATTATATAGCGTCGAAGAAGATAAAATAGCGTTGACCAATGCAGCTAGAATCGAAGGAAACCGCTCCCTATTTTAAGTGCGTAGCATTGTAACAATGAAGGAAAAACATAAAAGAAAAGAAAAGAAACAAACAAGAAAGAAAAGAAAGAAGATCGTATCGATATTTTTAAACGGGCACACTTTACTGTTTAAAAAAAAAAAAAAAAAAAAGAAATGTACCATCTGGACCGTTTATAGCGCTCTTCTATATATTGTATGTTTACGTGTACAGTGCCTTTATACCTGAAAAAGAGACAAAATGAAAAAAAAAGAAGAAAGAACGAAAAGGAACTTTTTAAAAGAAAAAAAAATAAAAATAAAAATAAAAATGATACCTTCGCTTTCGAGAAATCAATGTACACACACACAGGATTTCCCTCATTTTAGATAGCATGACGAGATCTCCGGGAAGAAAAGAAAACACACGGAGAATCTGGTCGATTTCAGCCTCTTGCATTAATTTCTCGAAAAGTCAAGGCGCGCGGTCCCTCCTACGAGTCGCAAACATTCTTCTAATTAGGTTCAGATTGTAATGATTACCTAATTATAATTAATGTAATTAGATTATTATTATGAGGTACGTTGTAAAAGTGTACAGTTGGATTGGGTGATCTCTTCACGCGGGAGATCATGCCTGTAGCTAGCCTTATTATTATCATTACGACTATTATTATCATGGATTATTATTACGGTTAATTAAAATATATTGTGTTTACCATAATAATGTAATATACAGTTACACAGAACTCGACTGTGCTGTACATTATAATTATCAACGCGAACGCTGCTGCCCTGCAATTATTATTAAATTGACTTTTCCCCCTAAAAAAAAAAAAAAAAAAATATTGCCTACTACACGAAACTTTTATTTCCTACATACGAAACACAAAACGAGGAAAATTGTAAATCCTTCGTCATGTTCGTTATAAAGCAGACATACATATATATATGCATATATATGCATATATAAAAGTATATAGTATGTATAATATGCTTCAATCGATTATTTTAGCCTTTTTAGTTATTAACTTATTTATTATTATATCAACAATGTCGTTTTATAATTTAACTTATCGCATATTTTCTCGAGTTTATCATTTATTTCACATATTGAATTAATATTTACAGATATCGGAATTTGTTTAATTATATTAAATATAGAACGGAAGTGTAATTAGAAGCAGAGAAAATTGAGAATGTATAAGAGTTCATTAATTACGTGAAACTAATTGATCGTAAAATTCCTATAGTGTCATATAAAATTTTAAACTTAATGCTTAGATAGGTACTATTTTTGGCATCGACTGATTTAACAGCCAAGTCTGTCTTTCATCCATGCAAAAGTTGCATCAGAATTTCCATTCATTGGAAACGATTTATGTGATTTTATTTGTAGCTAAGAAAAATAAATTAATCGTCTATAAAATGATCCATTTTTACCTTGGCATAAATAGATACGTAATAAAAAGTACAATGAATTAAAAACATAATCATTGTACATTGAAGAAGATCGTGTTAAAATTTTAAATAAATAAATTTCGATTTCAAAGATGTTTCAGTGACATCTGTGTTCGTTTTATTGACTAGAAACATACTAAAACGAATTTATTAACTTTACTTAAAAAATTAAAAGTAATGTAAATTTTAGATGAATTTCACTACGAATAAAGCATAAACGATTTATTCTTAATACTCCTATTCTTAATATTAATGCTCTTCTTACTCGTATATTTAATTCAACATACTTTTTGAAATATATCCATTTATAAAATGAAATGGATCATGCTACTTTCTAATTTTTTATAAATAATATTTTTTACATTCATTATAAAGTATTCTTAAATAATGCAACACGAATGCAGAATGAAAGTAAAAATTATGTTCCTATAGAGTTGCCAGAAGAAGTTAATAATTGTAAATACGAAATGAAATTAATTAACCCTAGTCAATAATAATAGCAAGTAATTGTCAAAACACGTCAATTAACATCTTATCCAACACTCCAGTAAAAAGAAAGTGTATTGGGTAATATGTTAACTACAAGTGCTCGTCGTCCTTAGAATTTCAAGAATAGATGAATTACTTAAAATGGATTATCTAATAACTCTTATATTTATAATAAGAAAAAATATTTTAGCCGATAATTTTTAATTAAATTCGACTGATATATTGCATTAAATTTTCTCGAATAAACTTTTCGTTCGATATCTATAATTAGAAATAATTTTTACACAACATTTAAATTAATTCTTAATCACTCTGTAACATTTAAATTAATTAATTACCAAACATGAATTTAATGAAAATAAGATTTGATTTAATTTTTACGTAACATTTAAATTAATTACCAAACATGAATTTAATGAAAATAAGTGATTTGATTTTAAGTTAATCGCAGTCTCGATAATAAAATTGTCACCACAAGAAATATGCGCAACATAATCATCAATAATGATACGATAGAACAGTCAACGTTATCAATGATTTAAAACGACAAAGAAATAAGAAAATATGAATTTACTGAAATCTTTTTCCTCTAAACCAAATGATTTCTAAAAAAAAAAAAAAAAAAAAAATGTCCTTTTATCTTCAAAAATAAAAGAGTTACTAGGATCATTCATTTTAAGTCTTATCTTACAATTTAAGTTAACTGCTAATTTGAAGTTGTACATAACTAGGCACCAATGAATCAAAAAGAAAAACTGACGTGAATACGATATTTATGTCCTTCTAAGTGCTCGCATTTGCTTACGACGTGCTTGAACAACACCATACACTACTGCTGCAAGACTTCGGCATCTTGTTCTATGCTTAGTCGTGCCTTCTTGTTGCAGCGTTCCCTTGCCCAGTACGAAATACGTCTCCATTGCCCCTTTCCCTTTAACTTCAATAAGTCCCCGTTTCTGAGTTTGATATCCTCTTGATTCCAAGAACTGTCGAAATATTTGAAATTAGACGGACAATTACAACATGCGTAACGAACAGCTACTTTCTTTGTCGCATGCATTGCAGTTACCCTAGCAATATCCTGCGGCACTTGTATCTTCCCCATAACGCCTGTAGAATCCATACGTGAAGCCAAGTTCACTGTGTTACCCCAAATGTCGAATACAGGCTTACGGGCACCGATCACACCGCCTACCAGCGGGCCACAACTAATGCCTACCCTTAAATCAAAATTATTAAACGAATGTATGTTCACGTCCTCAAGACGAAGTCTCATTGCCACCGCATAATCCACCAATCTACACACGTGCTCCATGTCATCCTTATTTTTGTCCTGAAAGAAAGAAAAGAAGAAGAAGATTGAAAAAGTAGTGAAGTCAAACGACTCTCAAGATCTAGAGACAACGATTAAAGCAATTCGTCTTTCGTATTATTAACGAAATATGAAAAGATGCATTTGAATGAAGTATGTAACAATTACATTTTGACAAGGATTGAGACCAGAAGCTGCCATGTACGTTGCTCCGACTGTCTTTATCTTTTCAATGCAATGAAACCGATTTTCGTCCAGAAGTTCGTCGAAATCGGCTGAAAAGAAACATCTCGAATATAGAGATTTGTCATTGAAGCGTGAATAACGCTAGAGCTGACACATTCTTCATTTCAAGTGCATTACCAATAATTTCATTCAGCAAACGTATACACTCCATTCCTTTGTTAACGTCTTCCGAGTAGAACTCCGTGAAATTTGGCACACTGGCGAACATCACTCCAACTTTGTCACGCGACTGAGAATACAACTCCTGCGAAAACATAAAGAAAAAAAAAATTGTAATTATAAAATTAACCAATCGTGGAGAAGCCAGTGGGGCACAAGTCGTATTACCTCTGGCGCTCTCTCCTGCGTTAAAAAGTGATGAGCTACGTGATCGGGTAAAATGTTCTTCAACAACTGCATGTTATTGTGCCGTGATTCAATCATGTCGCTTAGCTCCCTTTCAGCCTGCTGTTTCCAAAGGAAATCTAATCTGGACGTCACTTCTACCAATCTGCCGTGGTACGTGACCATCACCAAGAATACTAACATAAACGTGAGCATCTGTGCCGAGAGAGGTATCGTCACTCTAAAACCACGAAAGCCGTAATTACCGCCATTGTGTTTCTACGAATATGAAACTGACTGAAATCTCGTACGGGGCGTCGAGCCTGACTTACGAATCCTTCTCCTCGTCGGGAATCGAGAAAAAGTCCTTGCAGACCACGAGAATCAACACCGCGTAAACGGCAACGATGATCGTGGCAAGAGCCGTCTTCACTAGATAATACAATTTCAGCGCAGAGGCCAACGCAATCAGGCACAAGATCCACGTGAACACGATGTATTCCGGTCGTACGCAGGTCGTCTCTAAACTTACGTCGTCCCCCACGTAATCCAACGTGTACATAGATTCTGCGCGAGGTTCCGTTTCCGGCGTTGATGGTACTTTCCTCAAGACCATGTCTTCGTCCCTACGATTACCAGCAAATCTTCTATAACGTCTTCCAAACGCGAGTTTTGGAATATCGTTTGTTTGTGTCTACAAAACCTGGAGAACTCTCTTCTTCTTCGACCTTTCACCGGATCAGCCCTGTCGGCGAGGATCTTCGTCAGTTCCGCGTCAACCATGCTGTCAGAGCCACGCGATGCTGTTTGATTCTCTTTGGAAGAAACGTCTTTCTGTTCATCTGAGGTGGGCTCGTCGTGAAGGGCCGCTTCCAGAAACGTCAAAATAAATTGGTCGAGACCAACGTCGGTCGGTGCCACCAGCCGTTCTGGCTGCAACGTTGGATTCACTAACGGCTGCTGCTGTAGCTCCAGTGCCTCAGGGTATCGTCGAATCGACGTTGGACACGCCAGAACACCGACTATCGACGTCAATGCCATCAAACTGATCACGCTGCATATGAAGATCGTTCGATGCTGCTTGTTGTGAACCAACATCGAGGAAGCATGTTGCAAATATGTTGGCAACGTTTTGAACTCTTCCGCCATGACCAGGATTGACGACAATACCAAAATGAGCGTCGTTGCCAGCAACGAGCCCAAAAGAATAATGCAACTATAAAAAGAAATAATGTCGATTCAGATTAACATATTGTTCATTATAATCATGTGAAATGCGTTTCATCTCGGTTGTTTGCCTTCATTTTATAAATTTTCATCTCGTTGTTTGTTCTACATGCGGCTAAATAAGTCTATCTTCGGTCTATGAAATGACGATTTATAATTAATAAACATGATCACTTACTCTGGCAATATCACTGCTTGACAAATTGCAATAAATATCCACACGACAAAGCAACAAATCATGTTGGATTTGAACATATCTTCTCGCAATTGGCCAAACTATGAACAAACAAAATGATACGTCGTATTCGTCGTATAAAATCGCTGTATAACAAAATTTAATTTAATTCAATTTAGAAACAAGCACGCATATTCGTCCGCAAATATACGTAAATATCGATCTCACTTTTGATTCTAGGCTTTCGTCATTGTAACGCAAGGTCCAAGCGTTTATGTTCGCCAATCTCATGCGCTTGTTACTTGCGGTTTCAAGACCTGCGGCCTTCAGTTTCTCGGCGGACGCAGCGGACGCAACCTTAGTGCTTTTCGCGGAACCATTCTCTTCCTCGAGGTATTCCGACTCCAAATTGCTGACCGAGGTCGCGGTATTCAACTGTGCAAATAGCGTAGCATTAAATTCCTCGAGGTTCCCTTCGAAGTCGAAGATTCAAGAAATTCAAATTTTTCCAGATAGTCCAAATGTTCAAAAATACGAACGTTTTCGAATGGTATTTCCGGTGTCCAATCCACGCCAATGTCGTCGTCAGTGGACGAATTCGGAGCACTGCTGTTCGCGGCCAACGGATTGTTCAACTTGAAGCTCTTTTTACTTTTATTCGCGTCGTCCTCGGACCATATCTTAGGTCGTGAAGAATACCGACGTCTCGATCTCAGAGGTTCTACCTGTTTGATTAAATAAGTCACCACGTTCCTCTCCTTCAGGTAATTGTCCCTTTCGGTACCGTTTCCCGGCTCTACTTCGTACACGTCGTTCAAACAGTTCAACGTATCTTCTGAAATATGTACTCTCCTGAAATATCAAATTTTTCTCTCATCGCATGTGTAATGTTAATAAGACAATTTTGCATTTGCCATAGAACAACAAACATTGTGCAACACGTTAGGTAGTCTGTATTTCGTTAAATCCAGTCAATGAAGAAATGATAACTTTTACCCTGGTATGCCCCCGCTCTCGAGATGATTAGCCAACGTTACGTCGTAAGACCAGACATCGAATTGCCATTTTCGAAGCCCAAGCACACCGCACAATACCGAACCGCTGTGAATTCCTATTCTCATGTTGAGATCGACCTAAATGAAATCAGGTTCAAGTATAGAGGAAGACGGAAGGAAGGGTATTTTATATTTTATTTTTATGATTCTACACATTATTTTATATTATCCTGAATTAAGGTGCACGAATAGAATAGGTGGCTTTTTATATTATTAAATATATCCAAATTTATACATAGACACTTACAGTAATAAATTAATTTTCTTAATAAACCTGTGTTACGTACATTTATACATTTACTATAAATGTCTGAGTACAATAAAGATATAAATTTTTTTTTTTTTTTATGAGCACACTTTATTTTTTTGCAAAACTGGAATTAATACTGAATCGTATGCTGTGAAGGTTTCTTATTAATAAATTGCAACCTATAATCGATTTTAAAGGGAACATGCTTATTCTACATATGTATTATAGTAATTAAAGTTATGTCTTTTGAATTTTAATAGCTAACAATTATATTTATATTGATACAACTTTTTTCATTCTATTTTTATCTATAAACTAAAAGGCACAGACAAATTTAAAATATACATGGATTAGATTTATAAATACTTGGAGAATTATACGTTGTATAAAGTTTAGTTACATACCTTTGTTGTGTACCGCACATCTCTTATTGCTTTAATCATGTGCAAACCCATCTCGACGCAACAATGAGCATGATCGCTTCTGGGAGTCGGTAGTCCACACACGCAATAGTAACAATCTCCAAGTAATTTAATACGTAAACAATGATTTTCTGCGGAGAGCTTGTCGAAACGAGCAAACAAGTCGTTTAACACTTTAACGAGCTCTTGAGCGCTACATTGGCTGGCCAAAGCTTTGTGATAAAAACGAATACCATAGGTTAAATGGTTAAATAACAGAATATTTTATAGGAATACACATCTCAAAATTATTATATTATTATATCTTGTAATATATACGTTGTGCGTGCTAATAAAAATTAAATGTAAAATATAAAATAGAAATTATAGTTAATACTCTTAAATAATTCATATGCATAAATTATGTCTTCTAAGAACAAAATTTTATGTTACATAATGTATTATTTTAAATTTTTACCATTTTCATATCTTCGTGGCAATAATAGAGATAAAAGTTTAATTTGAAGAATGTTGATATGTATGAATTATAGAAACAAGGGAATTACATAAATCAGGGAATGAATGAAATAGAGAAAGAAATATAGACAATTAATTAATTTCATATAATGTATATATACCTAAAAATAAAAATAGTTACTCGTTATTAATGTCCCTTTTCCGTCGTGTAAACGGTAAACATTGTACAAAAGCAACAGTTTAAATGAAGATATAAATTAGTGCAGTCCGCTATCGTAAATAAATAATTACATACCGGTGAAGCCTTTGATGTCAGCAAAAAGTATGCTAACATTCTCATAGCGATGGATATATATTCTATGAAATTGATTAGGTGTAAAGGAGATTGTTCCACCTCGTGCAGTTTCACGGGCGATATCACGGATCATTTCCTTAGCCACGAAATCTGGTAAAACTACAATAAAATTCGTCAATTATGAGACCTGATTGACACGTTGAAGACCATATCCTTACTCTACAAAGAATAAAACGCCGTGATCGCATTGAGACATTCGTTAATTAATTCACCCGTTAAAGAAGAAAGCAAGGACTGTTAGGGCTCTGTCCGTTTTGTTTTATTTGATTGTATTTTACTTATACTTCCTAAACAAATAATCGTCGGAAAATCGATAATACGTAAAAGCAAAGTACTGCTAGGCTATCGGTAAAACATATCTGGCGCAATCGGGTGAAAGTGTCTAGTGACCCTTTTTGACACTCGGCTGAGCAAGTTACACGCGCTGACGAGCCCCATGCTTGCGGCGCAACCCCATGCGTTTTTATAGACTACATGTTCGACATGTTCGACATATATATAAATATACTTGAATACGTGCCGGGCGTATTTACATCAATACGTAATTACACAGTCCATATAGATTTATATATGATGCATACGTGTGTATGTAGCCTTTTAACACCTGTTCAATTAATTGTGCCAACTCAATGGCAAAATTAAGAGTACAATTTAATACCGATCGTCCGACAAAAATGTCAATCTAATCTCTACTTGTTAGCCAGTTCGATGGCGTGCTCGCTCTTGTAAACGTGTAAACTAACTCACTGGTTGACATTTTTGACATTTCAAACTACCAGTGATGTAGTTGGTAGAGAGTTAAGCAAAATTCGACAAAACGAAACGAAATTTCGAGCAAAGCTGAAAAGTAGATCGATCGATGAACAACAAACAATAAATCGCTAAGGATCGTCGTTAAATTGAAACAAGAAGAATAAAGCATGTCTCACCAGAGAGGAGCAATTTCTCTTGTCGGTTGTTCTCGTTTTGCGTTCGTTGCCGGGTCTCCATGGATCTGTGCGTCTCCAGGAAAGCCTGTCTCTGTCCTCTGTCTGTCAAATACTTAGTGTACATGCCAGCTAGATTCATTGCAAGATAAAGAAGGACGTTGGTTGTTAGCATTCGAACTATGCACGTGACATCATGCAGCTGCAATTGCAAAATTAAACGTACTTTAACGAAAAGAAAGCTGCGAGTCGCAAAACATACTTGGAATGTTGCTAAAGAAGAGAGTGTTGTTGTATCATGGTAAGGGTGAACAAGAAGCGTTAATTTTGTAAAAAAAAAAAAAAAAAAGTTAATAAGTATAGACCAAAGTGTAGACCAAGGATTCTTACATATGTGGGATCTCGTAATAATGTTATTCCCGCCATCACCATGTGAGTTAAAGCAGTCCCGTAACCGGCAAGGACACACCACCTTAAAGGCAACGGCAGCATGGCGTACGGCGCATACACGACAAACAAAATGTACCACATGAGACGTTGTTGACTAGAGAAATCTAGACCAGCTCCTATAAAACCTGCAATTGGAGATGTACAGATAAAACATAGAGGCACACACTTAATTGCGAGCACCGTTTATCGAGACATTAATCATTGTTCTTTTTTTTTTTGTTAATCTTAAATAACCGCAGAGGATCGCCGATCAATAGTAACCCATGCCTAGGTACAAGTTTGTTCTACCACGTCTCTCTCTCTCTCTCTCTCTCTGTCTCTCTCTACGGTTCGCTGAACATTCAAGCAATTCGCTGGACCGCCAACGCACGAGCCAGTGGAGCAAAACTCTATTCGGTAAACGAAGATACAATCTTCCCAAGAGTACACATGCACTCATCTATATATCTACTGTATGTGTATATTAGAAAATTGCAATGAAACAACAGTACACACGTGTCGACTTTTACATCCAACTATGAAAAGAACTCTGTCTATTCAGAAAGGAAGAAAAAAAGAAGATAGAGACAGTAGTAGGTTGCATATAGTTGCATCTGTGTGCGTGTGTGCCATCACCTTGCGAATTGATCAGTAACCAAGTGAATATGGAAGCCCAATACAAATAATTGTTGGAGAAACACCGCCACCAGCCAAGAACGCAAACCACCAAGTTCGCTGCCATACAGCAAATCGCCCAAGACAACGACTCGATCAGACCGCCGCTGTTCTCGTCTCTCTTCCACAGCCATATCGCCATCAGGATGATCTTAGTGTCGCCAGTGAGTATTTTATGAAACGAGAAATTGAGAAATAAAATACAGAGTATACTTACTCCGTGGAATTCGAATGACTAAGCCTTTAAGGGATCCAGTTTACCTTTAAGCTAAGATCGACGATATTCAGCATGATCAACGATTTCTGTCGTTGACGATTCGAGTAATGGAGATACGACGTCTCGAGCTGTTTGCTGTGGAAGCTGTTCGAGAGCGATGGACAAAATATTCCCTTATAGAGCACGCCTTTCTTGAAAACATCTGAAAATACCCGGTCGTATTTATAGCCGAAGGCTGTGTTGCACATAGAATAAATTAACAACATATGTTTAACTAGTGGAATGTTAAATAATTGGCCAAACGAGCGAAACACAAGCTGAATGTAATTGAAAGGCTTGTAACAATAATAAGTTTTTTTTTTTGTTAAATGTTTGAGCACTTGTGTGTACATCGTCTTTCATAATATTAATTCCATGATGTTGCAAATGTAGCTTTTGATAACTAAAGTAAATTATTATTCAATGTTGTTATGTCAAGCCATTCAGTTGTATCAATATTATTATTAGCATGTAATTGAACCTCGCTGCGCTTGTGATTCAGCATCGACAGGCTGATCGGCAAGAACCACGTCCGGGTCGGTAGAAATGTCTGCATCCTCGACTGGATCGGTTATTTCATTGATGTCTGGAACTTCCGGATCGTTGTTGGACGTCCGGTCCATCCCCCATGCCGCCAATCCTTCCCTCCCCAGCCTCTCGGAAGTTAGTTTCTTCACAGCCTTGATCCATAATTGTTTCCTCGGGGAAATACTCAACCTATCGGCGTCAAAAAAGTACAATGAGTTAGTTTTCTTGAATGAGCAATACCTGCGAAAAACATCTAGGACATCCAGGAAATTGATACATGAATACATACTGAATGCACATTGCATATTATACATTTTTGTTCGTTGCGCAAAATAACTGGAAGATCGTGTACATTCGCCGTTTAATAATTTTTGAACAAAAATAAATTATTGTTCAGAGTCTTAGAAATAAAGAAAATATTATAAAATAGTTGACATACGAAATGTTATTGAAATATGTAAAACTTAATGTAAACTAAATAATGATCAATATAGTAATTAATAAACGCGACCATATGTAATAAAAACATACAATTTTACAAATGTACATCTGATATTTTTTAACATTAATCGTACAACAAATTCTATTTACATATTTCGAAAATTTTACTATGGAGCAAATGATAGATGAACTTGCGAATAGTTTTTGTGAAAAATTAAAACTGTAGCTATGAAAAACATTGAACAATTTGCAAAGTGTACACGACCTCTTAATTAGTTTGAACAGTGTATAAACAAAAAAGTAGTTGAAGAGCAGAACATTTAAACAAATTTTGTTGTTAGCAAATTTTTTATATGAACATTTACGGTAACATATTGATATATATGATTCACAATATTCACATGTGACTGTGTCGTATACAAAGTATTTTCAAAATTTCAATAACACCAGAAATTCATCGTAACGTTCAATGTGAATTGAAATTATAAGTGTGTAAAACAGAAATTAAAAAACTTTTTAAAAAAATGGAATTTTTTTCCTTTCGTCAAAAAAATTCTTCGAAACGATCCTCGTGCAAACATCATTTAGGCTAACATTCACATATCGTAGACGCGTGTCCTACGATTCGAGGAATAGTGTTGGCGCAAAATACGTATAAACGATACATCATAATAAGTGCACATATATTTTTAAATGCGCAGCACTATCGATCCAGACACAATTCTTGCACGTATACGGTGATCCATCATCGTAGGTATCATTAAAACCATATACCACCGGATACAAACGATCAGAACAAACAAAAAAAAAAAAAGAAAAAAGCTAAGGAATCGTGTCCTTGTGAAAAAAATAGTATCAAGTGTGTACATGTGAAAACACATCGAAAGGTGTGTCACACTGTTGGAAAAAAACACAAAAAATCTCGTCGATACACCTGCAAAACGTGAGACTTACCGAACAGTGTTATTGTGTTAATGATGTGTCGCATTAAACAAAGAAATAATTGAAAGTCTTTCTTGCACGAGATACATTTTCTTTCTTTCTATATGTTTCTCTTTTTACTTTTTCTTTTTCTTAGTCGCGTGTAAGAAAAACAAAAAAAAGAAAAAGGAGATCAACATAGGTGAATACTTACTCATTGATGCCCGCGACATCACTGTCCAGCATCATGCTCCAGGTCTGTTCTGTAATCATTATCCCCCGGATGATCCGCGAAACGAACAACCGCTCACGATGTGATTGTCAGCTGTGCAATTGCCTTAGTATCCGGCATTTTCACACACCTTAAACCAGAACTTGTTAAGAAAGGAAGCCAATTTCTCGAATGTCCCGCCCAACGTTGGTTCAAAGAATTCTCTTTCTTTTTTTCCACCAGAGACCAAGAGAACAATCTTATCGAACCGCGACTACTTATCATGGCGATTTTCTCATCGTTTCCCTTAACGTCGTCGGTCCTCGCTCATTACATCAAAATGCGCCGCGCCGCACTGATACGAAATTATTTTACCACTGCGACTTTTCCTCCCTCGTATTAATTACTCGTTCAAATTACCCAGAAAACGTAGCCGGAAGCTGATGATACTCTTCGACACGAACGCACGATCGAAATTTTTCGTTTTTTTCTGCCAGTTCAGTTTCATTCTCACTGCGTGTAATCCTAACTGAGTATCGTGTATAGTGTGTAACAGAGTCAACTGTCCTCCCTTCTATCTCGTTATGTCTTAAAACATGTTGTCATTTCAATTTATAAATCGAATAATCGTGGTCAAATATTGCATACACCGTATGTATATACTATTGATATTGGTAAGTATTTGGACACCTGGTTTGGAATTCGATCAAAAGGTCGATATTGAATGTTTCTTTGCTTTTTGTTGCAGTTGGTATTAAACATAGCTCTTCTAAATTTAAACTGAAACAAGAAATATATCTGCGTCATTCAAAATCCACGCTGCAATGAATAACATTGACATTTCTTCTTTAAAAATATAAACTCTTCTAGAGTGCAATGAGAAACACATATTCGCACTAAGATTTTAACATTAAAGAGAAACATCACTTGATCCGGGTATTTTTCTGCAATTTTCATCCACTTATCAGTGCTTTTTTATTTATACATAACAACTGTATACGATTGCCTGAGATAAAATCAAAAATGAAAATTAGATGTATGAGTTTTGTTTGAAATATATTTTGTAATATGAAAGTGTCCAAATACTTATCCATAGTACCGTACGTATACAAACACCATACAATGGTGTAGGATCCACCTTGATTTCCGTGAAAGATGCACCACTGTAACGTCAGAGCGCGATCGAGCTTATTTTTACGCTTCTACATATCGACGAACAGATATCCCAGAAAATTATTGAAAAGCATCACTCAATAACGTTAATTTGTAATACGAGTAAACGTATACTCGGGAATTAATCAAATTGAAACAAATTCACGATCGACGCATTCTCGTAAGTGTATCTTCGATAAACGTACGAGATTTGAAAACGTCCGTTACAGGTGGAAAGATTCACGAATACCGACAAGGTTCGCATTTCAAAAAAAGTTAAGAAGTTAAGAAGAGAGAACGCTGAAATGGTTAAAAAAAGGAAAAAAAAAAGAAGTAGTGATATAAATTCCAATGAGCGAAATGTTCGAGCTTTGTTTTTACGTTACCTATCGGCTCCAGTCTACGGTCGAGAAGAATAAGCAAGCAGTTCTGTGCGATTGCTTCGTCCCAGCATTAAGACCACCGTCCGCGAACGAAACTGGTGACGAGTGTCGAAAATTGCGAGGGGGCATCCGCCAATGATAAAACCCGTGCTTCTACGAGCGAAATCGGTTACCGGGTCGGTACCTGATCTTCAAACGAGTGACTGTAACGTGAGCTTGTCACCGCGCGATGGCTCTCTTGACGTCAGATACTTTCATTTCATCCCCTCTAATTTGCAAGGAAAAAGAAGGGATGCTTCAGGTACACGGATATATGAAAAATATGCACGAAGTTCATGGAAAACATTTTTTATGGAAAATTGGTAACAGAATGTTGATTCTCAGTTGGAAATTTGCTTTTGATTCCATCAAGGAAGATCTTGTATCACATATTTCATATATATGTGTATATTACATATATTATATTATTTCTCTCCAAGGTATGTAAGAATATACTCTGTACATTTATGCAAACTTTCATTAAAAGATCTAATATAATCGCAGGGACTTTATTAAGGATAACCGTATTTATGTAAAAATTATATAATTATATAAAGCTATCTGTCTAAATGTCCGGTGAAAGCAATTTTATTTCATTTTAAAAATGAAATTTGTTTTACACTATTTCTATATAAATAACGAATGCTTGTACTCATTAACAAGTTCATTCAAATTTTTCATTAAATAAAAAAATCTAAGTAAAACAGCATATATATGCTTTTATAACATTGAAAAATACAATCATTAGTTATTTTTATTTAAAATTCATTATAACATAGTAGTTTTATTGATAGAGATAATATTTGTTGATTAAATAACTTTTTACGAATAATGTAAAGTAATGATATTAATGACAAAAAGTATATCACATATGGTATTATATTATATAATTAATAAGTGAAATAAATATATGAAGCAATACTGGTTAAGGATTAATATGACTCTTATCATGTCGGGAGCTTACGAAAGTTTCGTGAATCATTGATACGTGACAAGCGTAATAATCGATGATTATTGGCATAACGCGTGCGCTCTCTAATACACACGGTTCATAATACGAATACAAATGCGCGCGTTATTCATACCGATCAATAAAAACTAATGTAATTATATGTAGGAAAATATCGAATGTTTTGTCTATACTCACATATATGTTCGGAAGTTGTTAAACATATTTTAAATATTCATAAATAGGAGTACTTATTTTTTACTTAAATTACTTTTTCTTCATAATGATATTAATATTTAACTGTTTGATCTGTTTTGAAATTCAGTTTATAAAAATCAATACAAAACATATTATTACAATGAATGTACATGCTTGTATCTTTTATTTTAATATGCAAAATTACTTTCTTTTCAATAAGTAATTTTTTTTCAAATATACTTATCATTTAGTATTAACATGATTTTAAAGCAGGTTTTCTTGAAATAATTCTTACACTTGTGGAAACGTTAGTATTTATTGGCACCTTTCATCAAGTTCTATATCAAAAATAATATTTTATCGCAACTTAATATTAAGTTACAATATTGCGTTTTACTGTTTAAAAAAAAACAAAAATATTCCTCATAAAAAGCAATATCATTCATAAATATATATTTATGAATGATATATTTATATTTACTAGTATATTGCATATGTGCTTAATCTAATTGAATACTGAAGTAAAGAAAGTATTATCCAAGGTAAAATAAATTCACAATATAAACTATATGGAATAAATGTTACATTTCTTGTGTTAACCAAAAATGACTAAAACAGAATATGTTCAAACATTTTTAAATTATTATTAGATTATTTTAACACGTCAATAATAAAACTGAAAGCATGTTACAAGTAGAAAAAAACGTAATATAAACCGACAAAATACGTATCACATATAAAACGCAAACAACTATTATTATCACTCAAAGATAATACGTTATCATTTTAATATCTTTACACAAATTATAAAGTACGTAAAGAAAAAGAAGTTCACCAATGTATTAAGATTAAAAAATGGAATGCTGTTAATTCTTGCCAAAATATTTTTGATGTCTTTCATATGACACAGCCAGGTTTTACGTGATTGTACTGTTTGTTAATATAGGATGAAAATTAAATAAAAAGAATTTTAAAAAAATAGAATATCTAACAAACATATATGAAAAAATATCTAACAAACATATATGAAAAAATATCTAACAAACATATATGAAAAAATATGTGCGCAATTACTATTTGCAACATATAAAGAAGTTATTCTTAAATTATATATATAATCTTATACTCATGAGTAAGAATATATACATAATTTTTAATAAATCAATAAATTATTTTGTTGAAAAAATAAAAAAACTATAGCTTTTAAGGAATATAATTATAAGTATAGACATAAATGATATGTATGCACATATACACATTTGTGTATGTATATGTGTATGCATTCATATAATTTCCATTTTCATTATTTTTGTTTTTGAACAATTGTCTATGTCTAATATTTGCAAATATTATTAAATAGAAATATGATTTTTATATACAAACAGCTAAGTTCTCGAGCATAAAACAGTAAAACTGTACAAAGTTCGTTTTATACATATGTAGGAAACAATTATCTATAGATACATATATTTCGTACCGAAATTCGAAAACTGAATTATTAGTTTCGCTATGATAATCTTAGTTTTTTCATCAACCGTATCCAAGTATGTATTGTATATATTACTTTAATCAATGACTGTAGCTCGACCTTCCTCTACTAATAGTCGATCAATGTAAATATCTTCAGCTGTATTAACATCTATCAATTTTAAACCCAATACAGTATCAGCCGGAGAAAATCCATCAGGTTTAGATTCAACAACTATTGATACAAAATTTTTATCCACAACCAATTCTTGAAACCTTAAACTATCTTCAACAGACCAGTCGACGTTAATCGGTCGTATGCCTGTTTAAATTATTAATAAAATTTACGAAATAAGACTTTTGCATTTTAAAAACAAATTAAAACAGGAAAATAAAACAATTACATACCAACAAGTCTTGCTTTAATAGCTTGATATGGTAGTTCTAAGAATTCACTTTTCAAAGGTTGTAATTTATTTAATGGCAGTACTGATACATCTCCGAAATCGCAAAAGTAAACACTAACCATATTTTCTTTAATTATACTTGAAATGCATACCCTTAAAAGTGATTCGGAATAAATAGAAATTATTGATTAACATCAGTAACTCCATATGTAAAATTCAGACTTAAAATATACATTTATAAATCACTTTTTATTTATACCTATACCAATGACTGTCGATATGTTGAGCCGCATAAAGTTTGCCTTCTTTTACTGATTCTGCAGTCGGAGTTGGACCTTTATATGCTTGACAAGCTTCTTGTAATAGAATCATCATCGACTAAAATTATAAAATATATTATATATATTATCGTAACATATATTTTACATTAAACAAAATAAATGAAAAATAACCTTTACCTCTAACGAACTTTTATCATTAAATGGTTGAATAGTAAAATTTCCGGGATGAGCAGCCATTGTTACATGGACATCAAAATATTCACCAATATCCGAAATTTTCGGTGGTTTTAAAGATTTTACATCATCACTTTCATTTCCTAAGAGTTTAGAATTCATACGTTCGACTCTTGGTTTTCTTGGTTTTATATTATTATTACCATCCCCATGTGTTCTACAAATATAATAAAAATAATAATTATTTATTATTTATTAAAACTTTTAAACAGTCCAGTATAACATACTTTGTAAGTTCCTCTTCAAGAGCCAAAGTATTATTGATAGAAACAAGCATGTTGCTTGGTTGAATTCTTTTAAATAATTCCACAATTGGCGTCTTATTTTCGATTGATACAACTTTTATAAGAAGTGATTCATTTTTTGGTGCAAGCTCTGCAAGTTTTGCAACCATCTTTCCATTAAACATTGACTTATCAATGTTATGAAGATGTACCTTCAATGCCTATTGTAAATGTATCATTAAAATTTATACATATTTTATATATATATATATATATATATATATATAATCTTTAAATTCTTAATGAATATCAAAATTATAATTTTACCTGAGCAGGATAATTCGCTAAAACTTGAGATAATGTTTCCAAAGAAAGGAGATTGCTTTTCATTATAGTGACAGTCTTACCAAAATCAATTAAAAATGCTCTTAATTGATTGTGTAAACTATCATTTACAATTTTTCCCCTGTACCAATTATTATTTACCGATACAAAATATGTTTTACTAGGATCAACTGTAGTTACGATGCAATTTTCTAAATCTTCCGTATTTAATCCAGTACATACTAATCGATTTAATAAATTAACCAAAAGTTTTATACTTTCAGACTGCACTTGTACATAAACATCACCATTTTTTTCTATATGAGAAATAAGTACCTCCGATACTTGCCCCTCCTGTGAACAATAGAAAAGCATTATTGTTTTTATCGAAAAAAGAATCTTACATGTTATTTAATCATATTTTTATTAACAGAATATGAACAAACACTCACCACATCTAATTTAGGAGCAGTTAATACACTCTGTGAAATTTGTTTAAACAATTCTAAATTTATATTAATATCATCTGGTCCGTGCGTATCATAAAATACAACTGTTGCAGAGGATCCATTCTGATCTTTCTTGCGAGTTCGTACTTCAACATATAATGCACGATCAAGCAAAAGTTTTTCAATTTCGCTCGTAATGCTATCACAGTCATTGAAATCTTCCAAACCAGAAAGACACAGCCTTATCGCCTAATATATAATTTAATAAAATTTTCTATAAATATTTTTAATAATACAATAAAATTTGTACTTTAATAAAAGTAGCATTATCATACTTGAGCTGGA